AAAAAAACAACTAAGATTTCTAAGCAACTGTGAATGTTGTTATGATGGGATGGTGATGGAGAGTCAGAGAGAAAGACTGATGTACAGTAGGTGACATCCCCTGGAAGATCAACAACCAAAATCTGCCCATGTGTGGACCAGCATCAGCATCATCAGCAGCATCAGCATCATTACCCAGGTTGACCGTCAGCTTCACTCTGCCTCCCTCCAGCTCCAGACGCAGGGTATCAGCCGACTGCTGAGAGGTGGTGGCCACCAGGAGCCCGAAGGCCCTCTGGGACATGAAACGCAGAGACACGTCCTCGGCCTCCGTGTGCATGGTCCTGGGCAGCAGCACCTTCAGATACATGCTGCCGTCGTAGCTGACCGCCGTGGCCTCTGTGGGGTTTCCAGAAACACGAAGAATTAAAAAAAAGAAAAAACAAAACAAAAAGAAAACAGATACCTCATTTTTGTGTGCGTTTATCTCAGGTACAGGCTGATATAATTTTAGATTGCAGTTTCCATCCGTCGCAGCAGATGGCAGAAACAGCCTGGAGCAGATGAAGACAGCGGCAGCAGGATTGCAGTAGCAATCAAATTTCCCAAGGATTTATTCCCATCATCGTGCAACATGAGGGGGATTTTCATATATCCCTCATGCTATTAGCTGCCAATAGATCTGCATAATTTGGCCTGTGTGTGAGGAAAACCATCTGCATAGTAAATGTAGGTCGAGTCACGCTGCTGAAGCTTCGCTGAGCTTCTGAGAAACGCACCGAGCGCTGCCAACATCACAGTGTTGACTCCTGGTAATGAATCACCGCACTGTGAAAACTGTACTCTGATGTACTTTAAATGACTCAAATGCACAACCACCACATTTTATTTCTGCGGTTTCTTTGCAGTGACCCGAGCTAACGTGACACTGAATCATAACGACATCATACAGTCTGTGCATCAGAGCGTCACAGACTGTCACTGTGACAGATTGTATTTGGGAATTTAAATGAAGCTTTTATTTTTGGTGCTGTAACTTGATCAGAATGAAACGCAGAGACACGTCCTCGGCCTCCGTGTGCATGGTCCTGGGCAGCAGCACCTTCAGATACATGCTGCCGTCGTAGCTGACCGCCGTGGCCTCTGTGGGGTTTCCAGAAACACGAAGAATTAAAAAAAAGAAAAAACAAAACAAAAAGAAAACAGATACCTCATTTTTGTGTGCGTTTATCTCAGGTACAGGCTGATATAATTTTAGATTGCAGTTTCCATCCGTCGCAGCAGATGGCAGAAACAGCCTGGAGCAGATGAAGACAGCGGCAGCAGGATTGCAGTAGCAATCAAATTTCCCAAGGATTTATTCCCATCATCGTGCAACATGAGGGGGATTTTCATATATCCCTCATGCTATTAGCTGCCAATAGATCTGCATAATTTGGCCTGTGTGTGAGGAAAACCATCTGCATAGTAAATGTAGGTCGAGTCACGCTGCTGAAGCTTCGCTGAGCTTCTGAGAAACGCACCGAGCGCTGCCAACATCACAGTGTTGACTCCTGGTAATGAATCACCGCACTGTGAAAACTGTACTCTGATGTACTTTAAATGACTCAAATGCACAACCACCACATTTTATTTCTGCGGTTTCTTTGCAGTGACCCGAGCTAACGTGACACTGAATCATAACGACATCATACAGTCTGTGCATCAGAGCGTCACAGACTGTCACTGTGACAGATTGTATTTGGGAATTTAAATGAAGCTTTTATTTTTGCTGCTGTAACTTGATCAGAAGACAAAAATAATCACACCTTCCTCGGTCACACCACGGCACACACTTCAGCCCAGTGGGTGAAGACAAAAATAATCACACCTTCCTCGGGTCACACCACGCCACACACACTTCAGCCCAGTGGGTCGAAAATCTTCATGCATTATTTTAGCAATTACGCTATCAGGCTAATGACATTAGTCTGTATTGTAACAAGCCAGACAGTGTTGGACGACAACACATCATGGCTTGGTTTGTTTTTAACATCCTAACAGCAGCCCAGATAAGAGACATTGTTGGCTGAAAACTGTCCATGAGTTTTGTTTTTATCTCTGCAGTACTGCAAGTTTTCAGGGCTATGGTTAGCTGTAACAGCCCTGGTACAGACACCAGGGCTAATGTTAGGTTACAACAGTCCTGGTACAGACACCAGAGCTAATGTTAGTTTACAACAGTCCTGGTACAGACACCAGAGCTAATGTTAGTTTACAACAGCCCTGGTACAGACACCAGGGCTAATGTTAGGTTACAACAGTCCTGGTACAGACACCAGGGCTAATGTTAGTTTACAACAGTCCTGGTACAGACACCAGGGCTAATGTTAGTTTACAACAGTCCTGGTACAGACAATTGATGTATCCAGACCACAACAGACCAGAAGACAGTTTTCAGAGTCCATAAAATTCAAATGTTAAATATAATAGCTGTAATTGTAATGGACTAATGTACAGATACATATGAACACCTGAAGAATAAAGATAAATAAAGATATTTTGTTCTCTACCTTGAAGCTTCTTTACAGCTTCAGTCATTAACCAAATAAATTCGGTTTTTTTTTAGTTAATCCTGTTAGTATTTATATAATATTAAATGTATACTGGGATCCTCTGAATAAAACTATATAAACCACTGTATGTCGTTACTGTTTGTTTTATTACTGTATTGTTTTGTTCCCGCGCTTTTCTTCACTAATTAATACAACCGTTGGGACCATCTATGGCTGACCGAGATTCACACGGTGACCTGAACGCATCATTATAAGGTCGAGGACGAGGTTCTTGGACCGGTATTTAGTCTGGGAGTCAATATGGAGAACAAGAAAAGAAGAAAAAAAAAAAAAACTCCCGGCGACAGCCTGGTATTTGACCAAGTGCTGTTTAAAACAAACGCTAAATTAGTAACGGCTGCCATTGGGCTTTTCGTTAGCTCTGCTAGCTCCGATAAAATGTCAAGATATAACATTTTACAAAGTATATTGTGTGTGTCAGTGCTGCGACATAATGTACATAAAACATCAATATTTACACAATACAGTTATAATATTCTTAAAAACACAAAAGAAACTTTACTAACCAAAACCTCTCAACGGTTGTACTCATAATCCTCCCTCCGCTCTATCCTCAAGACGAGTTCGGTTACAGATTATCCGTGAGTTCTTTTCTATCGTCGCTAAAACTAAAAGTCCGGTCTGTTCCGTCGTATTTATATATAAGTTTTAAATCGCTTTAGGCTAAGAATGTCCAAAGCTCTGGACGCAGAGAAGACTTAAATTCTCCAGCGTTCAAGTATTTGTGAGACGCTGTTTACTAACTTCAAGACTGTGTGTTTTCTATGACCATCCAATCAAATCACTCAATCAATCAATGTATCTAACGGTCAGTTAGAGGCCTTGTTATGCCAGTGTGACGTCAACTCAAAATCTGATTGGTTAAAGAAACAAATTCGTTTTAGGCTCCCAGTGTGTTGGGCAGATTTCTTTCAAGCTGGCAACACACGAGGCTGAAATATGATTGGCTAAAACTGAAACCTTAAGAGTACGAGACAGGAAGTAGCGCAACAGAGAGAAAAACAGAGAACGACAGTGAATGATGAGCATAGAATACTCTGTACTACTTTATAAATATTTATGATTAATATATATATAAAATAAGTCATTGATTCTGGTACTGTTGGTGTCACACTGTAATGATATAGTAAAATAAGATGTTTAAATAAATAAGCTATTTAAAAATGACACATTCACACACACACACACATATATAAATATATACAGTATGTGTGTGTCCCATGGTCTACCTTACAGTAGATTTATTTAATTTTATTATATGATATATTTTTAGGATACAATATAATTGAAAAAGATTTTTGTCATATTGTTATATATTGTCATATATATTGTACCACTACCCCATGGTGACTCAGTTCCAGAGTGTGTGTGTGTGTGTGTTTTACGTGTTTAAAAAAAGGGAACACTGGATTGGTCCTCACCCTTGTCACAGCTCAGACCCAGGTATCCAGTACTGGCACAGTCACAGACGTGTCGGTTCCATCCCTCCCTGCACTGTCCACCGTTGGCACAGGTGTCTTTGACGCACCTGGTGTGAGTCTCCCTGGTGCAGAAGCTGCTGACACCTGCAGCCGTCTGAATCTCCGCCAGCCTCCACAGGTTACGACTCTGTCCGTCCATGAAGAAGTCCCTCACGCAGCCCACGTAGCCCAGACCCAGGGAGGCGGTCCAGACCTCGGGGGGGAGGACGAGAGCTTGCCGCGCTTCAGGTAAACCTCCGAGGTACATGTCACCGTCCAGGTCAAGGATCTCACTGCCTTCATTAGCAGAGAAGGGGAAACTCTGGCTGTTCACGGAGATAAAGCCTGTGGGGCAGGTAGGCATTAGGAGTGAGTCAACCTGGACAGATAGCACAGCGCTGCAGCAGAGCAGGGAGACAGGTGTGTGTGGGCTGTAGGAAGTGAAAAGTGAGAGCAAACTGTGGGAATCAGGAAGCAGGCGTCAGCGTCGGCTTCTTGTAAAAGGGACATTTTAAAGACAACGTGCTGCCAGATTTTCAGGGATAATAATCGTGTTGGCAGTCGATGCAACAAAAAGTTGGGAGAGAAAAATTCCCCGTCATATTAACAAGCGCTGGAAAATGATAGAAATGTGAAGGAGTCAGTGTAATGTGCTGTGAGGGTTTTTTTTTCTTTCTCTTCTTTCGATTATATGGCAGCATTTGCTGGTTGGAGGTGTGAGAGTGCGTAATTGGGCTCTTGTGAGAGAGGTTAACACACATTTCAAATGTCACACATACATTAGTGCAACTGAAATATTGTCGTAATTAAAAACTGACGCACATGCATATTTCACCCCCTGAATAACGAGCCAACGCTGTGACTGGATCGCTGTGATTCCACATATGGTGATTCCACAGACTGGAACCTTTTCTGCATCGCTGCTGAAACCTGGAGACGCAGCAGCAGACGCAGCACAGACGCTTCCTTCTGCTCTCACAAAAACACACAATCATCTCACCGTTGCGCCCGTTCCTGTGAAGGTCCACGTGGTACCACTCGCCGTCGCTCAGCTGATTGTTACTGGCTTTCGTCTTGATGCTGCCAGAGCCCATGTCCATGACCAGGTAGAGGAATCCGTCCAGCAGCTCCATGGCAAAGAAGTCGGCCCTGGGCTTCCTGTCGGGCTGCGCCCCCTGCAGGCTGCCGTGACTGAAGAGCAGCAGGCCGCTGGGCTCCGTGGTGCGAAAGTCGAAGGATATGGCGCCGGTTCTCTTGGCGTTCCACCTGGGCAGTGTCAGGAAGGCGGACGGCGTGTCAAAGGTGATGGGCTCCAGGGCCTCCACCTTCTCACACCTGAACACCAGGTCGCCGTGGACGGCGATCCTGGAGTCATGCTGCTCCGCCAGCCTGGACAGCTCCAGACGGAACTCATTGTTCTTGTAAACAACCTGGAGAAAAACAGACGCCTTACAGTGAGTTCTAGTGGGTTCTCCATGAGAAAAAAAGAAAGATTTATCATAAAAATCTAGTGGGTTCTCCATGAGACACACACATACATGTATGCATATATGTATATATGTATACATATATATGTATATATGTATACATATAGATATGTTTGTGTATATATGTATGGATTATACATGTATATATATCCATATATGCACATATACACTCCCATATATACATATATTCACATATATATTATAGTTGTACACATGTATACACAAGACCACACACACATATACAGTATATACACATACACAGTCCCTCATCACACATATATATTCACACATATTTATAAGCACGTAGATTATTTTGCTCCAACTGTAGAAAAAGTGTAACAACTGTAACATGAATATTTCTTAATCACTCACACAATTATTAATAATAATTATTCACACCTTCACGGAGCTGTGTGTAGATCACTCTCACACTCTGTAAATACAACACTGTTGGTATCATTAGTACTGCAGTACTTCTGCGTTGGTGAACCATAAATATCTGTCTGACCGACCTGGACACTGACGACACATAAAGTCTTGACGTTGGAAGGGTTTTCTTTTCTTTTTTTTTTTTTCCCCTCCTCTGGTGTCACCTGGTGCCGAGACGATGCGACACATGTGACACCTGCAGCAGCAACAACGGTCGGATGTGGCGTTAAAGTCACAGCTGGGCAGATTCCCAGAACGGTGTCGAATAAAGTCTAAGATTAACCAGAAAGACAAGTGTGTCAACCTGAACACGCCGTCTGTTCCTGCAGCTCAAGGTCACAGCTGACTGTTCTAGATGGTTCCGTCTCCACGCGCAGCACCAGCCTGGATTTACACCAGAACCACCACATGTTTTACAGAATATGTCGAGTCGTCAAACTGGGTCAGGACACGTGTGCCAGAACGCCGCCATTCAAGATTCAACAGTTTATTGTCACATGATCAGACACGGAGTACGTGAATGAATCCAGTCAAACGTAACCGTGAAGTCGCTCCGTGGACACAGAGAACATTCTAGAAGACTCTGAAGTTGATTTAAAGATTACCACAATTTTGATAACAAAATTTTGATTGATAAAAAAAATTGATTGATAAAAAATTGACAACATAATTTTGATGGTTGATTTAAAGAAAAAAAATACAGTACTGTATATATTTATATATATTTATGTGAATAATTTTTAAATAGTTTCTACAGCTTATTCACTATATATATGTATTTATATGTATGTATATATATTACATACATGTTTAAATATACACATATATTATTAATATTATCATTACTATAATAATAGTAACAGTAGTAGTGGTAATGCTAGTATGCTAATTGTAGCATGCAGTCAGACCTTTTTCTACCAGTCAGGGAGAGTAAGTATAATGTAGTAATGGACTCAGATACAGATACTTCAGGACATATCAGTAACTGTGGTACCGACTCGTCCCTGGAACAAACAGCTGCCGAGTTCTTGTTCCTAAATTTGAGTCTTTTTTAAATCCCGGCCTCATCGACATGCAGAGCAGCAGAGAACAGTTCTGTGGTAAGTCACCTCCAGCCCATAGTAATCTGCCTCATCACTCTGTGACCAGTCAGAGCCTGAGGTGACACACACACACACACACACACACACACTGCAGCTGAGAGGTAATTTGAGCCAATATCACACCGTCTCAGTGTGACTAATTAAGCAGTGAAATCAGATGGTGAGGCCGACCGTCCAGAAATGAGATGGAACGTGTGATTCTGAGGCGGGAAAGAGGAGACAGAGCGTTAGCAGCTGTGAGACGACATCGTTCAGAACCAACCGCCGAACGGATGACGGGCTCAGAGAAAACTGCAGCATCCGACCTACAACGACCAACGACGGAGGAGACTGAGGCTGTCAGGGTGGGAGTGACGGTGAAGGGGGGGGCAATGAGGACCGTTAACTAGAAGGTCAAAGGTCACGAGATAATTCCAGTAATAATAACTGAGTCCATTATTCACAGTGTGAGTCTCTGGAACTGCCACAGGAGGCGCCATTAGTGATATGGTGGCTCCTCTGGGAATCAAACCCAGGACTCTCTGCTTACAAGGCTATAATGCTGTGTCAGTGGACACAGGGTCAGAAAGGTCACCGGGTCAGTCGCTTCTTCTGGGATTTTTTTTTGTTGTTGTTTTTGTGCCAGAGAGGACAACGGTCGTTCTGACATGGAGCCAAAAAGGTGAAAGAGTTTAATCACAAATAAATCTAAAAAATAAATAAAAAATTCAGACTTATGGTCTCATGAACACCGTCCGTAATGTTGTCCAAAAATGTCTGAAGAAAGACGTTGTTTTTTAAGCACGAGGTTTGTAAAGATCCAGGTTCTTTCAGAAAATATAAACATTAAGTAAAGATCCAGGTTCTTTCAGAAAATAAACTAAACAGAAAATGAAAAAAAATTAAAAGACTGAGAAATCTGTTTTTTTATCAACAGGAAAATGTCGTCGTCCAAAGACGACTCTGAAGGTAACGTAACTCACACGGACTGTGTACGTCATGACCAGGAGAAAAAAAAAAAACTTCACCAAAACTTCAGGACAAAATTCTTTCAATGTCGTCTGAAAAAGTCCTGATACGCTCAGGCAGTGACAGACGGCAGCAGGTGGAAAATGACGACTTTCTCTGCCGCAGTCTTCATCGCCAAATTGGCTGCAATCTCTGAAGCATTAAAAGAAGATGAACCTAATGATGTTGTCTGGAATATCCTGTGGCTGCACACACGCACGCACACACACACACGTAGCGACACACTCCAGGCCAATACCACTTCAAAGCTCCATCCATCTCTCCCTGTGACTTGTTGTGCTGCAGACGTTGGTCTGGATGTGGCCATTATTTTTTATGTACCTGATGAACCTGGTGGCCTGGACCCAGCAGCACTACATCTTTTACCATGTAACATCCAGACCGGCTGCGGCTCTGTGCATTCAATAAAATGAGACAGTTACTGCCCTAAAAAGACCCATTGCTTTACACAATAAATTTTTCAAGCACTTCTTCCTCCCCTCTCCTCTCCAAACGGACACGTGCTAAAGGTTTAATACGTCGGAGTTTCCTAGAAAATAAACCACAGATTACATAAAATAAAAAAAAAATTAAAAAAAACCCCACAGGCTCCTCAGACGTCGGCCACTTCCAACAGGTCACTGAAACTATTTCCTTTTTCCTCTTTGCCGTCATCTCAAGTTAAAGAAAAATCACCAGTAGGTGGTAGTAATGTTGAAACTATTTCCTTTTTCCTCTTTGCCTCATGTCGTCATCTTACGTTAAAGAAAAAAATCACCAGTAGGTGGTAATAGTGAGCCCTAAATGCGATGAACCTGCATATAAAAATGTATTAACGTCTTGAAATAAAGCGACAAATAAAGTCAGAATCTCAGGATTCAACATTTACGTGTGTGACATATTCTAACGTTTTTCTATGTAGATCTGGGCCACAAGGTGGCAGAAGAAGAAGAAGTTTCCCATTACAGTCCAAATACAGGCTGAGATAGGCTAGAAATGTTTCAGCAAAATAGATGAATAAAAAGGTTTAATATTTTTTTAGAGAAATGAAAACACAGGGTTTTTTTATTATAATTTTCTAATTTCACAGAAATTTCTAATTTCTAATTTTATATTGCATAGGAATTGCACCCCCTGCAGGGGAGGCAGGAAGCTTCTATTTTTGCCACCTTTTCTCTCAGTTCAAACCCATTTGTGTGGCCCAGTCGTAGTAGGTCTAAACAGCGCCATCACCAGTCACACCACCCACACGCTGGAGGCTGCAGCTCTGGCAGAGGAACAGGGGAAAAGGGACAGGAATAGAAGCTTATTTTTATTTCAGTGGATCCATGATGCACTCCGTTAGTGTGTAGGTTTGTCATGAACGGAAAAAAAGAAAAAAAAAAAGGAGAGAAACCTCACGTGTCGACAAGCCTTCCTGCTCCAGGTCCACGTTGGAGGAGTTCTAATTTTATCAGACGTATTTATAGATATTTTACTGTAGTAAAAAGTACACGAGGGAAAAAATGAAAGAATAAATGAATTAAATAATGTTACAGATTTCTTACTGGGACGAGTTGGTTTGACTGAGGTTAAAGCACTGGTTCGCGGCACCTGAGAGAGGCCGTATATGTTTTATTAAATCAGGAAACTACTAGTTTTTTTAATATTGATTTCTCTCTCTGATCCTACTACTACTACTGGAGACATTCAAGCACGCAGCAAGGCACTGTCCCTCCATCAGGGGGCGCCACAGCGGCGGTTATTAGCCCAGTATTTCAGAAGAAGAAAACACAGACAGATACAGAGTTTTTTTTTTTTTTTTTTCATTTACGATCTGTTATATGTTTTGGTCGCATTTCCTCACTGGACCACAGAGTGATTTTGATTGGACGCTGTGATCGTCTGATAACCAATCACAGGCTGCCCACGCCTGATGCCCTCTCTGATGGTGGGAAGCCCACCGTTGAGCCACAATCATTAACCCTTCAACAGCCAACCTTCAATCATCTTTTCTGCTCCACCGTTAACATTAACTGAGGCATGACTTAATACTCCATTAGGGGGAGCCAGAGCACTTCAGAGGAGGTGCGAACCAACAAATGTAACCTCACTGATTTACATGAGAATTAACAGATGGAAAAACAATACAGAGTTCAGGTCTGAAAATCCACCCTCAGTTTGTGTGTGTGTGTGTGTGTTAATGTATGTGGAGACATGCGTGGGTGCAGTGGTTTATTTGCTCCCGGGGGAGGGGGGGGGGAGGGGGATCGACCCTGATCTAAACTCCCCGGCTCAGTGTGATCAATGTGGAAATGCAGCTCTGGGTTCAAAGGCGCGGAAGAGTTGGAGGAAAGAGTACAGACTGAGTGTGTGTGTGTGTGTGTGTGTGAGGAACAAATAAGCAGATGCATCAGTTCTCCTACATATATTAGGTGCTGCTCTCAGCGAGACGTTCCCTCAGGAATGTTCCGATGATCATTCCGTGCACGCCGCCGCGTCCTCTGGGCTACGCCCCCAAACAATCCAACAGCTCCGCAATCAATCAATACGAACGTGAGCGAGGCGACTGTCAGTGCACACATCACACCCTGCACCACAGCCGGGTCAGTGCTACAGGGGAGGAGGGGGTGTGGGGGAGGGGTGGAGGTCAGGGGGTCACCGCTGTACTCACGTTTTTCAGACAGCCCATGAAGTTGTTGCTGACCGGGGAGCCCGGCAGGTCGGCCGTGTTCTGACTGCCCCCGATGTAGAAGAGATCGTCGGAGCCCAGCATGGTGTAGTCCTCCTGGGTGTAGCCAGTGGTGGTGAGGATCCCGTCCACCAGGATGGTCACCTACGGACAACCACAGAGGGAGAGTAACGGGGGGTGGGGGGAGCATTAGAAAATAAAAGTCAGATCAAATTTTAACAAACAAGTCAAATGATTAAAGAGGAGGACGGAGGAGTTGGTGGGAGATCACGGGTTCGAATCCCGCCCTGATTCCAGCCAACTGGAGGAAAAACCAGAGGAGGACCAGAGTCCGGGTGTGAAACCAGTGACGACTGTTCAGATGTGACTGTTGATACAACCAGGATTTGAAACAAAACTTTGAGTTTGTCTGTAGGAACGGAGAGGAAATTAGTACCAGTACCAGTACCAGTACCAGTACCAGTACCAGGCCCAGTGCTACGTGCCGCTCCAGTGGACAGATGGTGAATTGTTGTTTCTACAAAACTGTTAGCCACTGATGTAGGTGGCAGCGTTGTCTTTAGTGTCTCCTCACAGCAGGAAGTGGTTCTGGGATCAGTGCAGTCAGAGAACAGAGGAAATGGAAATGAACAGATGAAAAGAACAATAAAGAAATAAATATATGCCTGTTGCCATGACAGTGAGCTGGGAGTTAACGTGTACTGCTGATCGAAACACGACGGCGGCTCTCACGTCAAACACCAGAGACGTTGGTGACGCATCGGAAAAAAACGGAGAGTCCACGATGAAAAGAAATTTAGAGGAAGCTCCGCCCACTTTCCATGTGTGGACGGGCTGTAACAGCATCATTAAAGTGTCAACAGACACAAAACCACAGACCAATATGGTCCAGGATGTTCTCCAGAACACTCAGAGGGACTGAGGACTGGTGAGCAGCTGAAAGAAGAACTGGTATGAACCACAGCCTGATAATTAGACTGAGAACAAGAGACAGAACACACACACACACACACACACACACACCGTGTTGGAGTGGTGTTCTGTTCTGTCCCATAAATACATGAATGCATCATTAATAAAGGTCAGAAAAGGAGGACGGAGGAAAAACAATCACGGAAACGACAGGAGAAAAAAAAGGGAAAAAAAAAGGAGAGGGATTGAAACGGAGATGGAAGTTGGAGGAATTCTAGCCTGAAATTCAGCAGCGGATCAAATAAAATGTTTCCACCACGGCTCCCCCGAGAGTTACAGTCCCCGCGATCCCCGTGTCAGGGAGGTAAGGTATCTGAGGGGGAGGCAATTTACACGGGGATAAAATGGAGGCGTGGAGAGGGTTAAGGGTTGGATTTCCTGCTGCTCCTCTGGAAGCTGAGGTCAGGAAATAGATCTGAGGGGAAAGTCAAGAAGATGAGACCAGGTCAGGTGACCAGGTCACGTGACTAGTTCAGATGTAACCAAGTAGGGTTGGATTTCCTGCTGCTCCTCTGGAAGCTGAGGTCAGGAAATAGATCTGAGGGGAAAGTCAAGAAGATGAGACCAGGTCAGGTGACCAGGTCACATGACTAGTTCAGATGTAACCAGCTGAAATGTTACCAGGTGAAATGTTACCAGGTGAAATGATAGATGTAACTAGCTACCAGGTGAAATGTGACCAGGGAACCAGCTGAAATGATACCAGGTGAAATGTTACCAGGTCATGTGACTAGTTCAGATGTAACCAGCTGAACTGTGACCATGTCAGATGTGACTAGTCAGTAAAGACGGGAGCCACGTGTGAATGTGAAGGACGTGTGTCGTGTTTGACAAAAACACATTTTCCATCCAGTCGAGGCCGCCGGCTGACTGTACTTCAGGCGAGTACTTCATCGTGGAGAGTACTGATGAGTACCGCCTTACATCTCAGAACAAAGGAGCCGTACGGTGCGGTCGGTTCCACAGTCAGTGTCAGAGTGAAGTCCTCTGGAAACTGCTGACATGTTGAGTTAATGACCCAGGAATATTTATCACCGCTGGTGTCATCAGGTGCAGCAGATGAATATGGAGTGAGTTTACATTAGAATATGATTAGCTCTGCTCCGATGGTCTGACTTCAGACGTGTTGGCGTGTGAGAAAGAAACCAGAAAAGAAAAAAAAAAAAGTCCAGGCTTGGTTGAGAGGTTAGTTCTTTAGATCTGAGCAGAAGACAAAGGTTGGACGAGAGGCCGAAGCAGCAGCAGAAGATGATGAGGTACCAGAAGTTTCCAAAGTCAGAGGAGGAGCAGCAGCAGCTGAAGTCATAAAGGAGATTAGCTAGCTGACGTAGCACGAGAAGAAGAAGAGGAAGAAGAAGAAGAAGAAGAAGAAGAAGAAGAAGAAGAAGAACGGCCGCAGCTACTGCTAACGTTTACTACAGGAGCTAACAAAGCTTTGATCGCTGGTCTGTGGACAGAAGACAGAGGTGAGACCGTGGACAAAAACACTCCACAGACCTGTTAAACAGACGGTTATTGTTTTTCCCGCCTCCATCGAGACGTTAACTCCGTATGAATATTTCAGAAAGTACTGCGAAGTAGAGCTGTACTGCGAGGCAGACTAAAGCGACCGCACGTTGAAGTGAGTTAGTTCAGGAACTGTGCACTGGACGGTGGACAGCTTTAATGAATATGAAAACCTACAGCCGACCTGGACTGTAGCGGGGAACAGTGTGTACGACTGTAGTCATTATATAAGCTTCATTTTTTTCTCCCCCTCCCCCTCCTCCCATCCTGACCCCCGCGGCTCTGCTGCAGTCTGGTGTCTCTGAGAGGAAGACTCTGGTCCGACTATCATTATACATTATTATTATTATTATTATATAAGATATATAAATATATATTTGCCTCTCTACTGTCTTTAATTCTAAAGATCCAGAACTGTTGGGGGTCCGCACCATAGGGATCGTGGACCCCCTGTGGAACACTTCAGGCTGATTCTCCAAAAAGTGAAAACTTTTATTGGTGCTATTTTTTTTTTCAACCATTTTATATTTCACTGCTACCTTTTCATTAAGAATAAAGGACTTTCAACATAAGGCCCCTGGTCCCAGTGCAGGACCATGTGCCTGAGATACTTCAAAGACAGAACTAATGGAATGCGGATCTAATTACCACCCAGACAAATGTTGCCCGATCAACAGGAAGAGAGGAAATAAAGCCAAAGCTGCGTCCGCACCTGTCGCAGGTTGCGCGTGACTCGGACATCGTGCCACACGTTGTCGTTGAACTTCCCGCTGGAAGGTTCCACCAGGGCCTCGAAGGCCCCGGAGCCCAGATTGATGACCAGCCACAGAGCTCCGTTCCTCAGGGAGAGGTTGACGTAATCGGCAGACTTCCCCGTGTGCAGCAGCAGGCCGTTCCTCTGCAGCGTGCGGAAGGACAGCGTGATCTCGTCCAGGCTGCTCTGGATGGGCGTCTGCGACAGGTTGTAGCTGAAGAACTCGTTTCCTCTGAAGGTCGCCACGGAATCCTCCAGACCTACGACGGCAGATGGAAATCTTAGAAACGTCCTCCTGTCATTGGGTTCAAGTCTAACATTTAAACTGTGCTGAAACAAACAGCTAGCATCTGCACTGTTATATATGTGAGTTCTGTATTTATGGAATATAAACTCCAGATTATTTTACAGTTGAAATGAAGCACTGAAGGTGAAAGAAAAACTCTGGTTAAATCTATACTGTATGTCTGAGGTTTTACAACACATCTCTAAGGAAATATATTTCCAGTAAATGTATGGTAAATTGTATTGGCTCATATGTTTCTCCACAACTGCTCCAATAAACACAGCGTTCAGATTCAATTTTACAAAACGATAGATGTTAAAGAAATCTTTATGTTTTTATATCAAAACATAACATAAAAAAACAAATAAACAGACAAACAGACGCAGAAGTAGACAGAGAGACTGCAGCGTAGATAAACAAGGAGGTCGTCGGAGATAAAATAACTAGCTACAAAACAAAATACTTCTGCACTGCTTGATGGTTTAAGGCCCAGGTAGATCAGTACAGCTGAGCAGCTAGAAAAACTACTAAATAGCTAGCTAGCTAGCTAGCTAGATAAACAGCTTTAAACCAAATAGCTAGTTAGATATATACTCAGCTAGCTAGCCATTTGCCTAATGCTACCTACATAACTAAGTAGCAGTAAAAAGCCAAAAAGCTAGCCAGAACGCTAATCAGAGTGGCTCAGATACAGTAGCTACTTGTCTGTTGTACAGAAACACGTCTTGATTGTTAGACATGAAGCTAAAGTCACGTGAAGCTACAGTATCTGTAGGCTATACGGCTAAACGACAAAACAGTCGAGCGTAGAGAGCAACAAGGCTAAAAACATCCCTTTATAGCTAAATGCTACAGTTAGCCATGGCTAAAAAGGCAATAGATGAAGAAAAACAATAGGATTTTTTTTTACTAGAAATAGAAATACATAAATACATAAATACATAAGGTACAGAGAGAAAGCTAACTTAACAGCTAGCTGGATACACAGATAAATATATGGATATATTCACGTCCACTCTGTAAGTGATCGAATCAACAGTGACGTTCACATCGTCTGGTGCCGCAGTGAGTGAAATGAATAGCTGGCGTCGTACCGTCAACTACGCTCTCACACGGTTACTGAACTCATGAGTGGATCAGTTCCCCGTCTGCAGAGACACTGCTGAGCACACGGCTTCAAATAAGAGGGATAAGCTGCCTCTTAAGCCCGCGCCTGTGTGTACAGTGAACGTCGGCGTCTGAACTCCACAGTCACTTTAAGCCGGCGGGATCAGTGGATCCCATTAGTGTGTGGTGTTTAAACACTGCACTGCCACAGCCTCTGAGCAGCCGCCGCAGCCGCCGCCGCCGCCGCCTGGTTCAGTCCACGCTGCCCGAGTCACAACCAACAAACAAACACCTGAAGGTCTGAACGTCGGAGAGAAACCTGGGTCCATGTGTCAGGTGGACGACCTCAGGGTCAAAGGTGACGTCTGACCTAAAGTCCAGAACACAACGGGTCCTGGAGAACTGAATCTGATCCTGTTGGACCAGAACCATCAGATACACATCAGATCAGTACCAGCTGTTACTGTGGACTAGTAATACCGCACCATCGTTGAACCATCGTTGAAGATTTTCAAAATTAAACAACTTAGTATCGGAATCTGAATGACCTTTGAATGAAAACAGTCACGAGTTCTGACTGGATTCTTTATGAATCAAGTACATTTTTTCATGGTTCCACTGCGGCCCGGTACTAAATGACCAGCACTGGTCTGCGGACCAGGGGTTGAGAACCCGTCTTCTTAGATGGTTTTTCAAAGCAGACAGTGATGATAAGCTGCTGTAGTTAAATATGTACCACAGCGCCACCATCCTCACCTACATCACCATGGCTACGGCTACAGCTACGACACCAACGTTAACTTGGTGCTAATAGATCTCCGTGTGGAGCGGGAGCGCCGACTCAGCAGAACTCCACTGCAGCACCACCCGCTGTCCTGTCAGTGTCTGCTGCAGCCCCCTCTACAGTCGGAACACGGACACTGCTGTCCTCGAGGTGCCGTTCCTGGACAGATCAGTGGATTTGTAGCACAGCTGCAATCATGAGGGGAGATAAACCAACCCCCCCCTCAC